ATTCTCCTCCAGCGACTGTGGCCCAACACACACAGGCCCGAACACTCTCCGACCCCACACCTCTCTCCCACTGCTGCCTCTGAGCCTCTTGATAACTTTTGATTTGAACAAATGGTTGAATGAAGCTTAAAAAATTGCCCTTGTATGACTTTTATATCTTGTTTTTCTGAAGCACTTTGAGTCGCCTCGAGTATGAACCGTGTTATAAAACTGGATTTGATCACGAGCTACAGGTTTAAACAAATAGAGGGAAGTAACAGTTAAAAATATAGAGAGGAGAAACGTGACTGAACATGTATTAGCATGTTTTTACACCGTAGAGGGTGTAAGTGAGGTGGGGGTCACTGTTGTGTTTCTACATGTCTCCACAGCACATATGGAACACACTGCAAAAAGTCATCAATATGAGGAATCAAGTGTTTTTTATCTTAATTAAAATATTTTCCATTGGGACAAAGCCTTTTAGTCTCATTTTAAGAACAGTTTTTCTTGTATTCTTTTAAAACAAGATCATTTTGCTTTGTCCCGTTCATAAATCTTGTTTTGAGGCAGTCACAAAGTGCTCAAAATAAAGACACATTTTGCCAAATCCGAACAATTTGGCAACGATATTCTAATTCTCCACGTTACACAGTTGGAAAGTACTGCATTTTTGATAAGTAAAGCGCTACCCTTAAGTCTGATAGAAAAATTAAGATATGGTTTTGCCAATTTGTTCTCATTTTTCATTACTTTTTGCAGTGTAGGTGAAGTCAGGCCAGTAAGAACGCATTTGCCTTGTTTCATATATATCGCATTATTAAATATTTGAGTCCATACGAGCATTGGTTGTATGTTGGATGCATTTTACGTCCTGTATCGATGTAGTATCTGCTCTTCTGAGAGGCTGCAGTACTTTCCAGTGAGATCCAATGTTGAAAAATACATCTGCGTCTTGGAAAGTCTGGACCCAAAGGTGTCTGGAATCCGAATGGCAGTCCATCCATTTACGCTAATAATGTGCATAGATATACCCTCCTCCACATCATCTCCTCCACTGTATGAACCAATGATTGCCTTTTCTCTGACTTACAAATATTGAAGGAGCTGTGTGTAAAAATGTGGCCAAAAGTGGTACTGCAGGGAGTCACTCTCCCTGACTCAGGTTGCCAGATATGCAGACGAGTCCAGCTGGGACCATAACAGCTGAATAGACAAGAGTTTTGTCAACAACAAATCTATAACCAACACCTTTTTCACAAAGATAGAAATCCTGGTTTTATTCCTTGTTTTGTCGTTAATGATTTGAGAATCATAACGAGACCTTTTTTAGTTCTGCGCCACATGGTACTTTACCAGTGAGATTAGCTCCACGCGGTGAGCTCTGGCGCCCGGATCACATACTTTCTGATTGGTGAAACAGTGAAGGGCGCGATTCAGGGGCTGTAAAACAATTTTTTAAATCCAAATATCCCTGAACTGTTGTTATCAGTTAAAGACGTATTGGAAAAGAGCATGTTTTATTAATGCCTTTTGACAGATTAGGGCCCTTTAATGAGGACTTGACATCAAAATCTTACTCATTGCTACTTAAAATCTTCTATATAAACTCTAATTCTAATTTTTCTAGTTTCCTCTGTACACAAATCTAACGCATCCTTGTTTCCAATGCACGTTTTTACAAACCACAACTAAAACTGAAAGAGCAAAGCCTCCAATACGCCAATAACTACTAATATTTGGTCTGAAATTCAAAGCCAGTAATCACAATTCCAAACCCTGAATGAATGAATAAATACTTTATTTCGCGCCATGGCAAACAAGAACTAAGAACAACAGAATAGAAAAAATACACACAATACATGATAATATACAAATATACAGTATGTTTTTTTTAAAGTCAGCTTGAAAAGGAGTGGGAAGAAGTTAACCCTGCATGTCTTTCTCTTTTTACGACTCCAACGCCAACAGCTCAGCTCAGGGGAAGTGCAGAAGTCTTGCGTGCGCTCCTGGGACTGGGGTAACTAAACCGGCAGATGAATGCACAATTAGAGAAACGTGTGGTGTCTCTAAACGGGACGGGCGGCTGGGAGAGGAGTGTGTTAAAATGTGCAGGTGGCCCCCGCTCTTTCCTCTTCGGGACGCGATACGGGGCCCGGTCTGCCAGCTGGCACCACTACACACCATGTTCATTCATGACAGCCAAGGCTCCCAAAAGTGCAGCAGAAGACGGGGGCCCTTGAATGCGAGAGAAGAGAGAGGAGAACACCTTTGAGTGAAGTTCTAAGCCAAGGACGTTCAGGGCAAGACGCAAAAGTTTAGTCAATATGTCGCCCCACAAAATCGGTAAGTACTGTCTGTGCGATGGCTTGGGAGAGAACAGGCTGGTCCACATACATATACAATACCCAACGATATGGGATACTATAAATACAAGATAAATGTATTTCTTACAAAACCAAATTTGAAGATTGGGAGACATTTGAACTTCTTATGAAAAACCCGGAGCTTAGAAGGTTGATAGATGCCACACTCTTCATATGTTGAAATGAAAATCTGGATGAGTCCCAACGTGAACGCTAAAGTTTCTTAATTTGGCATGACAAGGTATAAAAAGTGGAACTTAGAATTTTTCAGTTTCTCTGCGGTAAAAGTTGGACGTCTTTCTTTTTCATGATTTTCTGTGTTCTCTACGCAAAATGTTCTTCACAAAAAGTTCGCAAAAGGCCCTGCTTAGTGTCACGGTGGCAGAAGGAAATGAACCCAAAGTGCAAAACTAATGGCTTTAATAAAAAGTAAAATAAAACAAAATGCCGGTGGGGGTGTACCCGGAAAGAGAATTACCCAATGCTTTTGTATGGCGTCTTCTTTCCTCTTGAAGACGTCTTTACAGGATTTTTCCAAAAGTGGCTCTTGGTCCAAAAGTGGTTCTTGGTCCAAAAGCTGGTCTTGGTCCAAAAGTGGCTCTTGGACCCGAAGTGGCTCTTGGTCCAAAAGTGGTTCTTGGTCTAAAAGTGGTTCTTGGTCCAAAAGTGGGTCTTGGTCCAAAAGTGGCTCTTGGTCCAAAAGTGGCTCTTGGTCCAAAAGTGGCTCCTGCTCCAAAAGTGGTTCTTGGTCCAAAAGTGGCTCTTGGTCCAAAAGTGGCTCTTGGTCCAAAAGTGGTTCTTGGTCCAAAAGTGGCTCTTGGTCCAAAAGTGGCTCTTGGTCCAAAAGTGGCTCTTGGTCCAAAAGTGGTTCTTGGTCCAAAAGTGGCTCTTGATCCAAAAGTGGCGCTTGGTCCAAAAGTGGGTCTTGGTCCAAAGCTCCGTTCCAGATGCTGTCGATGCTGAGGGGAGTATTTGTTTTCAGACCAGTCTAGTTTAGCCGCTGTGGACTTTTGAATGCACTCGTTAAATGAATGGGGCTAGTGCAGAAAACACATGCGCAAGTGAGTTTTTCTTTCACATTTTTCTGCCCCGTGGCCATTTTGAAAAAGCCCACAAAAAACCAAATGCTGTGGCACATTAGTTTCAACGGCGGAGATAGGCGCCACTACGTTCATTTGAGGGCGGGGCAGGTATTCAGACAACAGGAAGTACAACGAAAGAAGACACAAAATAAAACAGGAAGTAAACCTAAACCATGTCACTTAGTAACTTTTGTGAACTACCATTAGCTTAAATATCAAGCACGTCTTGCCTACAAAAATCCTTGAGATGGTAAATGCATTGTTAAAACGAGAGGAAATTACATATTTTTTTCCAAAGTTCATATCATACTTATTGATTTGCAATATATCAACACAAGGATTGGTTTTCACTTAAAGCTGAGGTACCTAACTCTCAAATCACACAAAACCCTATGTTATACCAGCTGACTGTTCACATACTGCACATGTACTGTATGTTTTGGTCCAAAGTGTCAAATAGTGACTCACAGGGCTCTCTTTTGCCAGTATGCTAAATAAAACATGTTTCATAATCAGGTGAGGACAAAGTTCTTGACTGATTAAACTATGAACAAAGAAGTAACTGCTAACTGTATAATGCGGGTTTAAGGCTTGAAGAACAGACTACAACAAGCCCTTTCTGACATACCCTTTTCATTTTAAGTTACAACCATGCAACGCTCGCGATCCCCGGTATTAACACATATATATCTGAAGCTATACAGTGACCCCTGGTGATTTATGTGTGGCCTCTGTGACATGAAGAACAGGCAGAGTCCAGCCTGTATAAATATGTGCAGAGTATTGAGGCCAGCGTTCGCAGCATGTGGTCAGCCCGTCCGCCTCTGTCCGTGGTCCTGAATCACTAAAATGCTCGCTCCTACAAGCACCAGGACACGGCAAAGGGATATTTGCATGCTGCCGGGGAAGTCTTCCAAATGCAAAACCGTCCCGCGGCTCTCCCCTGGCTTACATCTGTGATAAATCTGCAGGGCCGCCAACGATTAGCAGGCGGCTGACACACACAGGCGCCCCAACAGTTGGAAACAGGAAGTGGGCCAAATGGAGCAGAACGCAACTTATTGTCTTTCCGTGTGCGTCTGCCATTATCTGCGGAGGAGATTGGTCTGCTTGTTATACGAGCTGCTGGAGACGGAGTGTACTGGCGCTGCACTCGGCCGATGTGCACTAATGAGCCCTGGTGATGCCGTGTGAGGCCTCCAGTAATCCTGACTCATGGTTAGAGCCAAACGATACTGAGAATCAGAACGATATTCGATATTGGTGTTTAGACATTGGTGAGCGAGATTTAATGTATTAGAATTCAAAAGTATACATTAGGCTGGGTGAGCTGTTACTTCCTGATGATACAAAACAACATTTGTATCCTATAGGGGAGAGAGCAGAGATATGGAGCAGAGGGACCAGGAGGAGGGAGCAGAGGGAGCAGAGGAGGGAGCAGAGGGACCAGGAGGAGGGAGCTGAGGGACCAGGGAAAGGGGGCAGAGGAGGAGGGAGCAGAGGGAGCAGAGGAGGAGGGAGCAGAGGGAGCATGGAGAGGGAGCAGAGGGACCAGGAGGAGGGAGCTGAGGGACTAGGAGGAGGGAGCAGAGGCACCAGGGAGAGGGAGCAGAGACAAGGAGCCGAGATAAGGAGCAGAAGGACCAGGAGGAGGGAGTAGAGGAGGAGGGAGCAGAGGGAGCAGAGACACCAGGAGGAGGGAGCAGAGGGACCAGGAGGAAGGAGCAGAGGGACCAGGAGGAGGGAGCAGAGGGACCAGAGAGAGGGAGCAGAGGGACCAGGAGGAGGGAGCAGAGGGACCAGAGAGAGGGAGCAGAGGGACCAGGAGTCGAGATAAGGAGAAGAGGGACCAGAAGGAGGGAGCAGAGGGACCAAGGGGAGGGAGCAGAGGGGCCAGGACGACGGAGCAGAGGAGGAGGGAGCAGAGGGAGCAGGGGGAGGGAGCAGGGGGACCAGGAGGAGGGAGCAGAGAGACCAGGATGAGGGCGCTGAGGGAGCAGAGGGACCAGGAGGAAGGAGCAGAGGGACCAGGGAGAGGGAGCAGAGGGACCAGAAAGAGGGAGCAGAGGGACGAGGAGGAGAGAGCAGGGATAAGGAGTCGAGATAAGGAGAAGAGGGACCAGGAGGAGGGAGCAGAGGGACCAAGGGGACGGAGCAGAGGAGGAGGGAGCAGAGGGACCAGGAGGAGGGAGCAGAGGGACCAAGGGGACGGAGCAGAGGGGCCAGGAGGAGGGAGCAGAGGGACCAAGGGGACGGACCAGAGGAGGAGGGAGCAGAGGGACCAGGAGGAGGGAGCAGAGGGACCAAGGGGACGGACCAGAGGAGGAGGGAGCAGAGGGGCCGGGACAACGGAGCAGAGGAGGAGGGAGCAGAGGGACCAGTTAGTGAACTTCATTATGGGTGTTTAGTATTTTGATAATGATAATTGTGACATTTTGTCTCAGGGCGAGGCAGACAATCAACAGGGAACAGGACAGGAAGAAACTCTCATGAAACCACAGAGAACCAATGTCAAAATAAAACCAAATACCATCCACCACCATGACAAGCCCGTTTGACTGGAGTCGGCTGGAGTTTTGAGATTGTAAATACACAACATGAAGTAATCTGTGGTATAATCAATGTATCGGCAAACAGCGTCAACACAAATATGATGCTATTAGCACAAGAGCTAAAGTGCTAATAGCTAAATTGCATCCATTGTCCTTAGGCCGGTAGAAACATACAGACACACAGTTAGGCAACAGTAATAACAATAACACGACAAGCACAACGCAAAGAATTTAAAAGAAGAGAGAAAGAGAAAGTCCAAGTAGAATTAACTTTATCTACTGTATGTGAGCAGGTGAAAGTCCCCTGTAACGTCGTGGCCACTTTTCTTGTTTTTCCCTCCAGTTCATATTGAAGGTAAGTCGATGCAGGGTTTGAATCTCTCTGTGATTATACGGCGGTGAACTCTGGAAAAGCCTGACAGGTCACACTCACGCAAAGACCTCCTTCTTTACTTTCAATTGAGAAACGGTCGCTCAAAGCAATCAACCCGACTTCAATTAACAACAGAGATAAACAACACGCATCCGGTCCACGTCTCGGCGGAGCTGCAGCCCAATCAATTCATTACCTAGTCAGAGTTTTACTGCAGGCCATTAGTAATGATCTTTAAATATTAATCGGCTTTGTCCTGGGACTGTTCCAGGGCTCTGTTGTTTTCTACTTCTTGTCAAGTTGCGCACACAGGGAGTTGGTTTTGGACAGCCAGAGGAGAGACATCCAGTTGTTTATCCTGAAGAGCATATAGATATCTATAGTTCATGTACCAGAGTGGATTAAGCTGTGGTTTAACAGGGGTGTCCAAACATTTTAGTAAGAGGGTCAGTTCACCAGATTGTTAATCCGTGATATTGGTTCCTGGACCAAACTGTCTTTTCTGGCATCAGGCTGTTCTGAGCTTTTAAATAATCTATAACGGAGCTGAAGTTGGCTGAATGACACATGTTTACCATCTCAGCAGCAACATTAGCATCATTAACGGGAGGGACAAATCAAAAATAAACATATGTAAATATTGACTGAATTCCAGACGTACTGTTTAGGTACGACATGTCTATATTGGCTGAGCTGAAGTTGGATGGATGACACAGTGAACTTGTGTGAATAATCTCAAAGACTACTTTGGGTTTGCAAGGCAGAGGGCCACATAAAATGACACGAGGGCCGCATTTGGCCCCCGGGCTTGAGTTTGGACATGCCTGGTCTATAGGACTGGCTGGTTCTCTGTGAGCTGGGTGCAGCCCCCAACCCAGAAATGGATTAAGGGGAAGAAAATGGATGGATGTATAGGAGGATTTTATACTCCAGGGTGGATCATCAAGACTATTGGTCCTCCCAAATGTCAATCATTCTGGTGATACGTGCTCGTCAAAAAAGACCAGAACGTTTTTTTTCTAAAAGTGGAGAGGGCGTTTTTTATCTAAAGTTCGGGAAAATCCTTTGGAAAAAACATTGTCTCACATATTCAGGAAGATTGTGCACTGTTTCTATTGAAATAAAATAATAAAACAGATTAAATGGACTCACAGCTTGTTTAAAACCTTTATTTAAAATCTCAGAAAATTTTAATGTTTTGAAAATGAGCGGAAAGTCATAATTAATACCAAAATTACTCTGATTATTATTCTCTTAAATATGTACTAAAAAAAGTACTTCCATCTCTATTTTTTTATAGACAAAAAAAATAAATTATATTAATTATAAAAATTAAATTATTATTCATGTTGCTATTTCTTCCCCATTTGTTTATAGAGCAGCTTTAAGTGAAATATGGACATTCCTGCACCAATTCTTACCACTATTTCTAAGTTCCAAACAAAATAACTGTAAGCGCTTGCGAGGATCAAACTTTTTCAAACTAATTTTATCCTCAATGTGTGAAATAAAAAAATAAAAACCCTGATTTTCTTTTTGGAAATGCATAGTTATTGATTTAAGCACAAATGAAAAGTTGCCGCCTGGACTTTAAATACAGCAGCTGCTTGTTTCGCTGGAGGCACAAATGGAGCAACAAAGCAGACAGACAACAAGACTGTACCAGAACACACAATTTAGATCCAAAAGTTTCTGGACTTTCACTTTAGCGCTGGAATCCATTTATAGATTTTTATAATTAGACAACAGCAAACACGGCTAATACCAACTATTGTCTTAAATAATTATGTGCACAAGACGGATTATCCCCCTCCCGGATCAAACAAACAAGCATCCATCGTGAGCCGGAAGCCGGAGACAGAGAAAGAGTCAGAGAAAGAGCCAGAGAAAGAGCCAGAGAAAGAGTCAGAGCCAGAGAAAGAGCCAGAGAAAGAGCCAGAGAACGAGCCAGAGAAAGAGCCAGAGAAAGAGCCAGAGAAAGAGTCAGAGAAAGAGTCAGAGAAAGAGTCAGAGAAAGAGCCAGAGAAAGAGTCAGAGAAAGAGCCAGAGAAAGAGTCAGAGAAAGAGCCAGAGAAAGAGTCAGAGAAAGAGCCAGAGAAAGAGTCAGAGTCAGAGCCAGAGAAAGAGTCAGAGAAAGAGTCAGAGAAAGAGTCAGAGAAAGAGCCAGAGAAAGAGTCAGAGAACGAGCCAGAGAAAGAGTCAGAGAAAGAGCCAGAGAAAGAGTCAGAGCCAGAGAAAGAGTCAGAGAAAGAGTCAGAGCCAGAGAAAGAGTCAGAGCCAGAGAAAGAGTCAGAGCCAGAGCAAGAGAAAGAGCCAGAGAAAGAGCTAGAGCCAGAGAAAGAGTCAGGAAAAGAGCCAGAGCCAGAGCCAGAGAAAGAGCCAGAGCCAGAGCAAGAGCCAGATCCAGAGAAATAGCCAGAGAACGAGCCAGAGAAAGAGTCAGAGAAAGAGCCAGAGAAAGAGTCAGAGAAAGAGTCAGAGAAAGAGTCAGAGCCAGAGAAAGAGTCAGAGTCAGAGCCAGAGCAAGAGAAAGAGCCAGAGAAAGAGCTAGAGCCAGAGCCAGAGAAAGAGTCAGGAAAAGAGCCAGAGCCAGAGCAAGAGCCAGATCCAGAGAAAGAGCCAGAGCCAGTGACAGAGCCAGAGAAAGAGCAAGAGAAAGAGCCAGAGCCATAGAAAGAGTCAGAGAAAAGCCAGAGAAAGAGACAGAGAAAGAGCCAGAGCCGGAGAAAGAGCAAGAAAAAGAGCCAGAGACAGAGTCAGAGAAAGAGCCAGAGCCAGAGAAAGAGCCAGAGAAAGAGCCAGAGCCAGCCCCGGGAGCTCAGTCTATCTTCATTTAGGCTGCCTTTAATAATTAACCCGATACGTTAATTTATTTCTCTCTGTGCTGAGGGGAAACACCCAGGTGAGTTGAGTCTGTCTCTGGGGAGGTGTGCACAGGGGAAGCTCCAATCTTCCTCCACCTCCTCCTCCTCTTCCTCCCACATCTCAGTGTTTACAGCCTCTACAGCCCCGAGCACAGGAAGCACTGGAAGAAGAACTCAAAATGTGGCCCCTGTCCACTCTTTACCTGCAAAAAAAAACTCCTCATCGGCAAATCTTTTGGTGGAGTTCAAATGGAGAGGAACTTGATCATTTCCCACGGCAAGTTCTGGTTTGTAGTGTGCTTAAAATAGCAAAAACGGTTTTATTTCTCGTGTTTGAAGGGTTCGATTCTTTGATCTGTGTATGGGAATTCAACAGTTGTGTAAAGTAGTGAGTAAGTATGTGGAATCTTTATTTATATAGCGCATTTTACAGGGAGTAAGGTCGGTATGTAGGAGGTGCATTCTGAACATGTTTTTAGTCGTAGGGGAAAACCGGAGCACCCGGAGAAAACCTGAGCAGATAAGGGGAGAATGTTGGTCCAAGCAAAAGGAAATATGAATAAAATTATGATAGATTTATGGTCATGAGTACAACACTACAGCGACAGTGTGTAATTGACATTAGCCAAAGGGAGAGATGCATTGTACCGGGATGTAGCAGCAGTGCTAATTTACACCTCTAGTCCCGGAACAGTCAAAAAAAATATATAGATACATTGCCATACATTAGGCATTATTTAGAACTAAAATTATTCTTAATTTTTGTTTTAGTTTTTTTATTGTTTAATGTATGTACCAACTATTGGCTTAAATAAATATGTGCACAAGACAGATTATCTCCCTCCTGGATCAAACAGACAAGCATCCATCGCGAGCCAGAGCCAGAGCCGGAGCCAGAGACAGAGAAAGAGTCAGAAAAAGAGCAAGAGAAAGAATCAGCGAAATAGCCAGAAAAAATAGCCAGAGTCAGAGAAAGAGTCAGAGAAAGAGCCAGAGAAAGAGCCAGAGCCAGAGCCAGAGCCGGAGCCAGAGCCGGAGCCAGAGACAGAGAAAGCGTCAGAGAAAGAGCCAGAGAAAGAGCAAGAAAAAGAGCCAGAGCCAGAGAAAGAGCAAAAAAAAGAGCAAGAGAAAGAGTCAGAGAAAGAGCCAGAGCCGGAGCCAGAGACAGAGAAAGAGTCAGAGAAAGAGCCAGAGCCAGAGACAGAGACAGAGTCAGAGAAAGAGCCAGAGCCAGAGCCAGAGAAAGAGCAAGAAAAAGAGCCAGAGCCAGAGAAAGAGCAAAAAAAAGAGCAAGAGAAAGAGTCAGAGAAAGAGCCAGAGCCGGAGCCAGAGACAGAGAAAGAGTCAGAGAAAGAGCCAGAGCCAGAGACAGAGACAGAGAAAGAGTCAGAGAAAGAGCCAGAGCCAGAGCCAGAGAAAGAGTCAGAGAAAGAGCCAGAGCCGGAGCCAGAGGCAGAGCAAGAGCAAGAAAAAGAGCAAGAGACAGAGTCAGAGAAAGAGTCAGAGAAAGAGCCAGAGCCAGAGAAAGAGTCAGAGAAAGAGCCAGAGCCAGAGAAAGAGCAAAAAAAAGAGCAAGAGAAAGAGCCAGAGAAAGAGCCAGAGCCAGAGAAAGAGTCAGAGAAAGAGCCAGAGCCAGAGAAAGAGCAAAAAAAGAGCAAGAGAAAGAGCCAGAGAAAGAGTCAGAGAAAGAGCCAGAGCCAGAGCCAGAGTATGTACAATCTTTGACATGTGACCTGAGATCAAATGTACATATTGGCCGAAGAAAATAAACTACTTTTACTTCTACTATCAGTGTTATATCTTTTGAGGTTTGTAAGTCAGGCACCGCAGCTTTAACCTGATCATACCGGTTTGGTTTGGACGCAGATGTAAACGTATCGCTCCTACTGTAACTCTCAATCACTTCAGTATTTGCCAAGTTGCGAGGCTCACTTCTCGTCGCACGCTGGGATCAGAGACGGCTCTAAACTCCCGCCTATAGAGAACCGTTCACGTGCAGGAATCATGGCTCCAATATGTAGGAAGGAAAAGACCGATGCATCCGCTGATATCATTTACAATATGTTTGGTGGAGCCACATCACTGAACGATTCATGAAGAGACAGAGAGATTACTCAGGGAGAGAAAGTACAAAGAGACAGTGGAAGTGAAGAAAAGTCCAACAAAGTATATATTCATCCAAACAACTACAGTGTCTTTATCTCAAGCATTATTCATTAATATCTAAGTAAGTGATGGCATCTTTTGTTATCATGCACTTCGAGAAATATCATATCCAAAAGCCCTTTCTCATTTCTTTCATTTCTCGACACCAGATAAAAGAACATTTAAAGCCCTGGTCTCCTCAAGACAACAACATCCAACTTGTTCCTAAAGCGTCCTGGAGGTGAAAACATATGGAAGAAGTGTTGATTTAGTGACGCAAGCATCCTACATGTTTGAGAACTTCTGTACGCCATGTGGGCTGGAGCCGTTCTCTTGATCCTGTTTGTCTCAACGCGTGTATCGTCTGCATATCTTTACATCCGACCACGTCTTGACCACACGCCAAACCTGGGGTGGAAACCGTGACGCTGGCTTAACCCAATCACGGCCCCCTTTGCCAAGTCCCGGGGAGGCAAGACAGAGGCTTAAGTGAAACAACTTTAAACCCAGGCCACGGAGCAGCAAGAGAGAAAGCCCCAAAGGCGAATGGGCGAAGAAGAAGAAGAAGAAGAAGAAGAAGAAGGTGGGGAACAGCTTAAGCAGGCAGGAAGCAGGGAGCCACCGCCGCAAAAGAGAGCACAGAGCGGCGAAATGAGCGAACAGAAGAGGCTTGATATGATTTCAATGGAATGTTTGTTGACAGTGCTGCGTGGCCCCGGGCCCTGGGATAAATGATTGAAGAGTGCGCCTGTCAGAGCCGGGCGGATTTCTGTGGGCTTGTGTTTCTCCACGCGCTCTTTTTTGCTGGAGGGAAGGTAGCAGTGGGCTAATTGACACAGAATTAAGCATGAAACGCACTAAAGCACATGCAGCCCTCTCACTGCCAGCTCTGGCCCTTTCACCCACAACGGGGCCATTGGAGGCTGAGGAAAAGCCAAAGAGATAAATATCGACACACATACATACGCGAGCGAGCATACATGTGTGAATGAGATGGGAAGAGAAAAAAAAAAACATTCAAATGAAGACAAACATCCAAGCAGATGGGCCTCTATTCAATTACACTAAATCGGTAATTCGACATCTGAACACCCACACGTCAGAGCGAGCCGAGCCAGAGCAGAGGCTAGGAGGAACATAGGGGAGGATGAGTGAAGAAGAAAATACTATATGTACTGCGACAAATGACTCCATGAGAAAGTAGTCCTTCTAGATTGAGAGTGTGGTTCAGGGCCACACCTTGTACGTTCGGCTCAGCGGCAACAGCATCAGCTCCAGGATCCGCTCAGATGGTTTTCAAAAACAAAATTGTGCAAACTGGTTTTAGCGTTCTTGGGGGTTTGTCCCAAAAATATGTTTCAGGTGTGGGCTCCAAAAAGCGGAAACAGTCTTCCAAAAAATTGGAAACATCTTCCTCATGATGTTCGGGAGGCCTCGTCTCTAGCATTGTTTAACTCTAAGCTGAAAACCGTGAGAATGAATTTTATATATTTAGTTTTTTTATGTCATGTCATCATACTATGTCATTTTCTACCCCTTTATTATTCCATTTCTGGGTTGATTTGAGCTCCCACCCAAATCCCACAGCCCCGGCCCCTCTCTGATCCTCCTGCAGGTGGTGATTCCACAGGAAGATGTTTCGACGAAGATAAGGTTGGTCTTTCAGCGGGGGCTTTGGGCAGTGTGGGGTTAAGTGCCTTGCCCAGGGACACAACAACAGCAGACTTCAGTGAGAGCAGATGATATGGGTCGTGGGGGGATCAAACCCACAACTGGGTTCAGAGACCAATGCTCTTCCAACTGAGCCACTGTTGCCCCAAAGTGTTTTGGATACACTTTTATTTCTGACGGCAGAAACACCTCACTCAAAAATGTCTCCACTTGAGCAAAGTCCTCTCCATCCACCGCTGAGGCCAAGGCTCCTTTATCTGCTCCAGAACCATGGTCTCAGAATTGGAGGAGCTGATTTTCCTGGAACGAAGAGAAAAAGACCGTTTGGAGGTGATCCAGATCCCGGTTTGGAATGGAACCTCATGGCAGAAGTCTGAGCTCAGCAGGTTTTTATCCAGACATAATTTATCGAAAAGTTGTGAGACACATGTCAAGAAAATAAGTGCAGAAGAGTAATTTACTCCAACTCAACGGAGCCAGGACAACATTTCAACGAAGATATTAATGTCATAACAGAAAGTTAATTATTATCTTTTCAAATGTTTTTGGTTTAAAAAAAAGGTCAGTTTGAACAATATTTAAATGGTTGTAATCTTAAAATCTTCTGCCCCATTAGGTCAATGAACACTGTCCAATGGAAACCTGAAGCTGTAAATAAACACAGCTACAGAGGCCATAACACTGGGCTACAAGAGGCTGCTCATTCAAACTTGGAGCCACGACAACAACATGACGAACAAACAACAGTGGGGCAAGAGGAGGAAGAGGAGGGAGAGGACTGTGTCTACATGAGAACAGCCCTCACTGGAGAACAGCCCTCACTGGAGAACAGCCCTCACTGGAGCAAAGCCGTCACTGGAGCAAAGCCCTCACTAGAGAACAGCCCTCACTGGAGCAAAGCCGTCACTGGAGCAAAGCCCTCACTAGAGAACAGCCCTCACTGGAGCAAAGCCGTCACTGGAGCAAAGCCCTCACTAGAGAACAGCCCTCACTGGAGAACAGCCCTCACTAGAGAACAGCCCTCACTGGAGCAAAGCCCTCACTAGAGAACAGCCCTCACTGGAGCAAAGCCCTCACTAGAGAACAGCCCTCACTGGAGCAAAGCCCTCACTAGAGAACAGCCGTCACTGGAGCAAAGCCCTCACTAGAGAACAGCCCTCACTGGAGAACAGCCCTCACTGGAGCAAAGCCGTCACTGGAGCAAAGCCCTCACTGGAGCAAAGCCCTCACTGGAGAACAGCCCTCACTAGAGAACAGCCCTCACTGGAGAACAGCCCTCACTGGAGAACAGCCCTCACTAGAGAACAGCCCTCACTGGAGGGAGTTCCTTGTGAGAGCCAGAGACGAGGAAGGGAGGCTGCGGGTCAAAGGGCCAACTTTATCCTGCTGACGAGGAGCCAATCACAAGCTGCCCCTGCACCATCCTGGAGCCAACCAAGGGGGAGGCGGAGAAGATGCAAGCCCCTAAAGTGGAAGGGTGGGTGGACTGTGAGGCGGATCCCCAGGGTCAATTATCCCCGAGAAGGAGGAACTGCAGCCAACACTCTGCATCTCATTTGCACAGCAGCAGCAGAGGTGCACCTGAGCTCAGAGAGTGAGCGTCCTGCCACCGCTCCCAGGCAATTAATGTCTCCTGTATGACATGTGGAGCTCAGGGTGACACAGACAGGGCCGAGGAGGGGCCGAGGAGGGGCAGTGTGGGCCGGCCAGGACAGGCACAGGACAGGCACAGGGCCGGCGCCTCCTCCTCTCCCTCTGAGACTCATTTCAGGCAGAGTCAAGCTCCAGTCTGCACCGAGCCACGCGGTCAAAGTGCCCTAACTCACTTCCACAGCTCCAACTACTGAATAAACAGCTCAAGGCATTTGACGTCAAAAGACTTAACTGAAAAAAATATTTACATTTGAAAAACTTCAATTTGTTCAGCAAACACAAGGGCCGCCACGCCCTGGCTACACCGCTCAAGTCTCTCTAAAGACTGAAAAACCATAATAGTCCCTCAAACTGTTCTCTACACATTTCCTCTGACTTGAAACTCAGATTCATAGTTTTGGGAGTTTGTTAAAACTTGTTTAATGCATTTTTAAAGTGTAACTGGGACAGTTCCAGTGTAAATACAATACATCAACAATACCATAAAGTAGTTAAGAAATCTTGGAACAGTAATAGGTTTTATCCTGTATAATTTATTTAAATAATGTGGGAATAAGTTTAATTGGTGGACATTTACAGTCGTAAAACACACACATATATCAGTGTAGCCACAGTCAGCTCCTTTTCTCTGTCATCTGTAATGTAAAACATTAAAATCTCATTAGGCTTTATAATCAGCGATACATCACCGATGGTAACCTACTTAAATCGTATGCGCAGACTGCTCTGGAGGGAGCATTAAAATGATATTGAAGATATTTGTACAGAGCGTGTGTTACTTACACTGGGATGTCAGTAAGTGTGTTACCGTGTAATCAAGTGCTGACCTTGTGCGTGACCTCATCGCTGCAGGGCACAGCAGCTAGCAAGGCTAACATGAGGCTAATGAGTGCCATTCATTGCATTTGGAGGCAGAGCAGCGCGCACACTGCACATATTCAGCAGATCCATCCTTCCGATCACTGCTCCCCGCGCACCGCCTGCAGCCCACAATGAGGCCAGTGTCTGACCATCCGAGACACAAACACGCGCTGCTTTGCTCATTCTGCTGCTCAAACTTTGGCCTGACACACAGCGGATGACTGACTGCTTCCTCCGGTCCGCATCAGCCGACAACCAGGGCACCGCTCCGCATGTCCAGCTGCCACAGAGCCAGAGAACAACAACAACAACAAGACACCGCACAAGGAAATCTGGATCTTCACGTCAGTATGAAAGCAATAGAGACAACAGGACGGAGTTTACAAAATGTCCAGACCGAGAAGTTACAGACGATCAACGAGCCAAATCCACACGGAGAAGTTACAGACACATATGGGTAAAGAGGTCTTGAATCAAAAGGTTTTTATCTTAATTTGAGAACATTCTGACTTAAAACAATATTTGCCACTAGAACAAGCCGTTTAGTGTTATTTCAAGAACTGATGATTTAATTTCTCATCCTCAGAGTCCCAGCAGGAGGCCAGTCCCTGTGCTCCTTCAGCAGGAGGCCAGTCCCTGTGCTCCTCCGAGTCCCAGCAGGAGGCCAGTCCCTGTGCTCCTCAGAGTCCCAGCAGGAGGCCAGTCCCTGTGCTCCTCCGAGTCCCAGCAAGAGGCCAGTCCCTGTGCTCCTCCGAGTCCCAGCAGGAGGCCAGTCCCTGTGCTCCTCAGAGTCCCAGCAGGAGGCCAGTCCCTGTGCTCCTCCGAGTCCCACCAAGAGGCCAGTCCCTGTGCTCCTCCGAGTCCCAGCAAGAGGCCAGTCCCTGTGCTCCTCCGAGTCCCAGCAGGAGGCCAGTCCCTGTGCTCCTCAGAGTCCCAGCAAGAGGCCAGTCCCTGTGCTCCTCAGAGTCCCAGCAGGAGGCCAGTCCCTGTGCTCCTCAGAGTCCCAGCAGGAGGCCAGTCCCTCTGCTCCTCAGAGTCCCAGCAGGAGGCCAGTCCCTGTGCTCCTCAGAGTCCCAGCAAGAGGCCAGTCCCTGTGCTCCTCAGAGTCCCAGCAGGAGGCCAGTCCCTGTGCTCCTCAGAGTCCCAGCAGGAGGCCAGTCCCTGTGCTCCTCAGAGTCCCAGCAGGAGGGCAGTCCCTGTGCTCCTCAGAGTCCCAGCAGGAGGCCAGTCCCTGTGCTCCTCAGAGTCCCAGCAGGAGGCCAGTCCCTGTGCTCCTCAGAGTCCCAGCAAGAGGCCAGTCCCTGTGCTCCTCAGAGTCCCAGCAGGAGGCCAGTCCCTGTGCTCCTCAGAGTCCCAGCAGGAGGCCAGTCCCAGTGCTCCTCAGAGTCCCAGCAGGAGGCCAGTCCCTCTGCTCCTCAGAGTCCCAGCAGGAGGCCAGTCCCTGTGCTCCTCAGAGTCCCAGCAAGAGGCCAGTCCCTGTGCTCCTCAGAGTCCCAGCAGGAGGCCAGTCCCTGTGCTCCTCAGAGTCCCAGCAGGAGGCCAGTCCCTGTGCTCCTCAGAGTCCCAGCAGGAGGGCAGTCCCTGTGCTCCTCAGAGTCCCAGCAGGAGGCCAGTCCCTGTGCTCCTCAGAGTCCCAGCAGGAGGGCAGTCCCTGTGCTCCTCAGAGTCCCAGCAGGAGGCCAGTCCCTGTGCTCCTCAGAGTCCCATATGGCACTAACATGTCACAGACAACAAACAGGGTAAAGGGGATCACTAACAGCATCATAATTTAAATCGCCGGCTTTAGTTGGAAAAAGAAGGATTTTCCGACCAATCTCGGGGCCAGAGACGTGAAGCATGACTCTGCATAAGACTCGCCTTTTTAGGAACCCGGAATCACAAAAGGTTTGGGGAATTCGTTCATCTGTGTAAACAACTAAATGTAATGTTAACAAAAGACTGATGATCGCAAATGTAGTCAATGAGTAAGTCGCGGAGTCGGGGGAGAGAGGAGGAGGGGGCTGTGTGCTACTTTTGTCACACACACACACACACACACACACACACACACTAACAGGCGGCTCGCTGCCTTCTGACAGTGGCAGAGTTATCACGGCGAGGTGAATATTAGCCCCCCGGGACTTCATTTACCTCCAACATATTCACGGAGTTTCCCTGTGTTTTACTGCGCCTCATAATCCCAGCCACCAACACTCATATCACACACTATTTTTATGTCCACGCCTGTTGTCCCCAGTTATTATTGAAATCATTATGGGATGTGGGTAGTGTAGTACTACCTTTTTCCCTTCGCAAAGCCTCCTCCTCCTCCTCCTCCTCCTCCTCCTCCTCTCAGCCCAATCTGCCTCCATGTGTTTTGTTACCGTGGACCTCTCTATGAAAAAAAAGCATGCGTATCTATGTAAACAATAATAAAGGCTTTTGTGTTGCCGTGATTGTACGTCTCCTGTTGGTATTTAGCTGGAAAAGGTCGCTGATGGACTTCTTTTGTTGTGGCGTTTGAGCTTTTTTTTTTTGCCTTTTGTGTTTTAACAAGTCATTAAAAATTGAGGCAAGGGTAAGGCAGGAGAAGGGAGACGATGCATATGTTTAGAAAGCATTATTATTATTAAAAAATCATGTTTGTCTCCCAAATTGAGAGTGACTCATGCCACAATATCTGTAATTAGATAAATTATAGATGGGGGAAAGAGAAAGGACGGTGGCGGGTGGAATATGGAATTGCCAAACCAAATTACCGTCTTATTCTTAGAGTGGCCCCATTAGGGTTGTCACTTAGACCAGCCAAATGGTGCACTAATAAAACGGCAACTAGCACTTAACCAGGCTTAATTAATAGTAAGATGATTAATATTTTAATTGCTGGAGATTAAATATAGCGCGGTGTGTCCCATGTGCCTTGCTTTTGAATGTCAGACGTGACACACACAGTGACGGAGCGTGAGGCGTGTGCAGCGCTGCCTTCTCCGTTTCACTATGAATATGTATAGCTATTAATATTCAAGAAATTATAAGTAAGCCAGGCATCGGTGTAATAAGCAGGATTACATGTGGAACAATATTGTCATTTAAGCTAATGATTTGGAATAATGCATGCAAATGTCGGAGTCCTCAGCCTTCAGTGGCTTTTTTCAACTCAAACACGGCGTAATACAAATCACCCTGAAACAATGGCGCTGATGGTTTAGGCTGAAGTGAGAGACGCTTAATCCTATTACCACACGTTGAGAATCCAAGAATACAGAAATGTCAGTTTATCACAGACTGTAAATATCAACGGATGTACAGTAGTGACGCCGATCTCCGCTGTTCAAACTAATGTTCCACCACTTTCCCCTTCTGTGGCTTTCTCAAAATGGCCACGGGGCATGCGTTAGCTGCACTTGCCCTATTCATTTGACAAGTGCATTCAGAAGTCCACAGCAGCTAAACTAGATTGGTCCAAAATAAATACTCACCTCTGCCTTGACTGCATCTGGACCAAGAGCGACTTTTGGACCATCCTGTGAAGAAGAGAGGAAAGAAGACGCCA